CCTCCCTCCCTCCCTCCCTCCCTCCTTCCCTCCCTCCTTCCCTCTCTCTCTCTCTCTCTCTCTCTCTCTCTCTCTCTCTCTCTCTCTCTCTTTCTTTCTTTCTATGAAAACACTGTAAACCAGGTGTGGTGGTGTATATCTTTAATCCCAGTACACAGGAGGCAGAAGCAGGTGGATCTCTGTGAGTTCAAGGCCAGCCTGTTTTTACAAAGCAAGTTCCAGGACATCCAGGGCTATTATACAGAGAAATCCTGGCTCACAGAATCCTATTTCTAAACACTAATACTAAGTCCTGAGCCAGGAACTGTGCTAGATAGAGGTTGGGAATACAGTATTGCAGTCTGCCCGAGGAGACAGGAGGAAAGAGAAGCTTCACTGGGCTGCGATTGATGGATGCTCTTATAAGGAGGAACAGAGGGAGCTCGACATGACAGTGTATGCCTTGTCATCACAGTATGCAGGAGGCTGAGATTGGAGGATTTGGGCTGTGCAAGGCTAGTTGGGACTCCACACCAAAGTCTTATCTGAAATTATAAGAGAAAAAGGGAGCAGAAGAAGGTGTGTGCCTGTCAAACACATAGTCATCTTCCCCGTGGAAGGGCTGTCTCAGCAACCCCAGGGCTTGGGCACAGGAAGCAGAGAAGCCTGAGAAAAAGAAGGGTTTGCAGAGAATTCACAGGGGACGGAGTGGGAAGAAAGAGGGAGGGAGGGCGGATGGTGACACCACAGGACTCGGGGCCTTTTTTTTTTTTTTTTTTTTTTTTAGACATGGTTTCTCTGTGTAGCTTTGGAGCCTGTCCTGGAACTCGCTCTGTAGCCCAGGCTGGCCTGGAACTCACAGAGATCCACCTGCCTCTGTCTCCCGAGTACTGGGATTAAAGGTGTGTGCCACCATCGCCTGGCAGGGACATGGGGTTAAGACTGTGGATTGCAGTGCTCTAGGAGGATATGTAATTGAATGTGAGGGACAGTGGTCAAAATATTTGTCAACAGTAAAGAGTTTTTTAAACACTGTCATAAATGTCATAAATGTCCAGTGCCAGATGTCCAGTGCCATTCCAGTAGGTGCCAGTGACTCCTTTTACTATGAACCAAAGGCCGCCAGCATAGTGAATATAACTTGGATAATGGGAGAGGAAATGAGCTGGAAGGAAAGAATGGTCTTGTAGCCAAACAATCCTGCCATTTTCTCATGTAAGTTTGTTTGTCTGTAAAGGAGGACTCTGTCCTGCTCACTGCTATAGTGACAGGACCCTGTAGTGACCACACATTAGGTGTTTGATAAATACCCGGAATGCTATGACAATGCAGTGTTCCTGGCAGTTAATTCTTCCCAGGACACATCTGTCTCCCTTTAAAAGTTGCTATGATACAGGTTCTAGAAGGTGGAGGTCAGTAGTGCCTGCCCTACCAGGAACATCATGCCAGGGCCAGCCCCATTCTTGTCTTGGCTGCCCCATGAGAAGGCCATGTTCAGGAAGAGTGGGGCTGTGGCCCGTGAGCCAGAAATCCCCAGTTCTAGAATCAGCTTAAGCTGTGGCCTCAGAAACCCTGTCTCTAATACTGTGAGTAATGCCTGCCCAGGGTTGTTGTAGGAACAGGTGACATAAGGACCATTCAAGAGAGCACATGAGCAACTGATGTGTTAGCTGTGGTACCCAGCTTCCTGGTTGCCTCCTGGTTCTTGTAGTGGACAGGATGTTAAAACATCTGGGGCTGAGGATGCAGCTCAGTTGGTAGAGTGCTGGCTTCGCATGCATGAAGCCCTGGATCTGATATCCAGTATTGCATAACCCAGGCATAGTGGTCCATAATTCTATAATTCCAGCACTCGAGAGGTAGGAACAAGAGTATCCAAAATTCAGGGTCATTTTCAGCTAGGTAGAAAGATCGAGGCTAGTCTATGTTACAATCCCAGTCTATTACGAAAATGGTGATGCTAAACTTCCTCTGACATCTTCACCCAAGTTTGGCCCTTATTGGAAGACACATGGCTTACCCATGACCTACATGGTAAGGTGACTATGCATCCCAACGTTTGTCTGTTGTCCTGGGGGAGCTAACTATTCAGATGAAATATAGTTAAAGAGACATCCAACTCAAATTCACACACTTATCCAATTTCCTGAGGGAAATAAGACAAGATGCCTACTCCCAAGGAGCTGGTCAAGCTGGGACCAGTAGAGTGATAGAGGTGCGGAGAAAATACCTGAACAACGAATGGGTCTCCAGTGTCAGTGGGCATCAGCAGCCTCAGCTCTGAGCAGCCTTACAGTAGCCCCTGTGCACCGGTCGGTCCACCCTCACCAGCCCCCAGGCAATGGAGGCTTGTGATCTGGGATTTGATTTCACACAGGATGGGCATTGCTTTCTTCAGACACAGCCAAGCAAGGCAGTGGTGAGGGAAAGGCACTTCTCCACATTCCCTGCACCTGCCTGAGCAGCCTCGGTGGGTCAAAGAAGGTCATTCCAGCAGAAAGATGAGCACTCGGAAAGTTACTGAGAAGCCGTGGTGGCCTGTTGGGGCAGCATCACTGGGGTGGAAAGTGCAAAGAGGTCCTGGTGTGTAGCTCTGGTAACTCCCATTTCCCTGATCTCCACAAGCTTTTTCAGGGTGTCTTCATGTGCCTCTGGCTCTGCCAGCTGTTAACCCCACAGGAAGGTTTCATAGGTACCAAGGGGAAAAGAAAAATCAGAGACTGAGGTGGCAACCTGCAGATGTGCTGGGCTTCTGAAGTTTGTGCTTTCACTTTCCCATTGGGTACTGTAGAGCAGACTCTAGGACCATATGCTCAGAGGGGTCGCAGGCCATTTGTTGAATATGAGCCTCGGGTTTCCGGCAAGGCTAAGTCCTAGGAGAAGGGTGAAGGGAGAAGGCAGGACAGAGGTGACTGAAATCACATTCCCTGGACAGACATATCAAACGGTACTGAAAGAAGTTTTTCACTCAAGTCAGGCAGAAACACACCGGGAGTGGCCCATGCGATGGAGCACACACTATACCACACTCAGGCTCCCCCGCCTCAAGGGAGCAGACAAAACCTACCAAGCACCAGGACTGGGAGTCTGAGCTGCGCTCTCTGCCAGGGCTTTGCAGTGCTCCCTACATTTTATAATCCGCCAGTTGTATCTACCTTGTGTTCCCCACTCCAGAACACCCACCCACTCCCACCCCACCCGGCACAACGGGACACAAACAAACACACCACACAAATACCATACCCACTCACCATGTACCCCCAACACTCGTGCACATGCCGATGTGCGCATGCACGCGCGCGCACACACACACATACACACACGGTAGGTATGAAGAAGGAGGGCACCTATAGGGTAGGGATGAGAGAGTGGCAGAGCCTGGAGAAACAGAGCCTTTTAAGGCAGCTTCCATTAGCTGCTCACTTCATTACCCCCCTTCTTCTCCCACACCTGCCCCCCATTCCCACCACTGCAGTTTCCCTCCCTCTCTGCTTAAGGCAGAGGCCCCGCCCCCCACCCCAGGAGCTTGTAAGTGGCCAAGGGACTTCTACCTTTTCTTGTTTCATCTCTTGTTACAAATTTCTACAGGGTTGATGGCGGATGATGCCATGGGAAGTCTCAGGTTGCTGGGGTGCAGCCTAGGCACCTGATCTCATTTTTTTGAATCTGATCTGAATATTTTTAAAATGGTACCTTTCTGCATGGACGTCATTCCTACCCAACCCTTTCTTCTGAAGTTAACGACAGACACAAGCAGGAAGCAGGCTTATGGTGCTGGACTGCGCTTCTGCCTTACTGATGGCCTCAGACCATCATGGACCCTGCCGTGGCTCCTCAGTGTGGAACGCTGAAGCATTTCCGTGCTTAGAAGTTCTCCCAGAGCTGGTGATAATAGCTGAGCTAGTAGAGTGTTTGTCAAGGAGACTGGAAGTCCTGGGTTCGATTCCTAGCACCACATAAAGGAGGTGTGGTGATCAGTACCTATAATCCCAGAACAGGGGATTTAGAAGCAGGAGGATCAGACATTGAAGGTCATCCTCAGCTGTATAGTAAGGTGAAGGCTAGAAGTTTAAGGCCAGTCTAAGCTACATAAAACACTGTCTTTACTTATTATTTATTCATTTAAATATTTCTCCATCTGTCATTTCATCTGCAACCTGGGGCCGAGTTCTTGCTGTGCCTGCCAACTCCCAAGGCCTCTTAGCCCTGTCTGCCAGATGGGCCTCAAGCCTGTGCTGGGGAGGAGTCGCCTCTGTGATGTCACAGAAGGGACCCCAACAACCTCTGTGTTCAAGGGATACCATTAGGAAGGAGATCCTTGCCTCTGGCTTTTCGGATGGAAAGGCATGGATGAGTCAGTAGAGAGGATCTCCAGGTAGACCCGGAAACAGTGACTGGAAAAAATCGGAATGTCGAAGAAAACCACAGAAGCACTCCTCAGAGTCATTAACCCTCAGCATTCAAGGAGCTTGAGATGTATCCAGCCTAGGATGAAGACTCGGGGATATCTGATTGGCCAAATGCTGACCAAATGCCAGCTCAAGTGCCCAGAGCCAGGAATGTCACGGTGCTAACAGTATGTCAATTACCCCTTTCCCCAAATCCACGGTGGTGTCACCACTGGTTTGTCAGATCCTTACCAACCTGAACTTTGCCTCAAAATCATTTCTGTCTGTCCACATGAGATGGCAAAGTACCTAACCAGCTGTCCAATCCTCCTTGTTGTTCTCACACATTCTGTTCTCTAAGATCAGAATCTCCATTCTTTGGTCCATCTGTCCAACTGTCTGTCTCATGCCAGTACTGCCCAGCCTGCCAGGCATTGGCACCCAGAGCACCGAGAGCCCTGTATGGGAAAGAGAATGCCTTCCGCTTGCTTTTGTAGGAGCAGCTACACCAGTAGCAATGGGGTGAATTTGCCTGAGCTTTGCATGTAACTGGGGCTTTATGTTTGAAATGGGGGAGGTTGGAACTGCAATCATATTCCTGAGGAGAGGTGTCAATCAGCTGCTGCTGAGACACAAACTACCCACCGGTATGGAGGGAGGCTCAGCTGGTGGCTGAATGCTGCCGACCTGCACACAAAAGGCTGCCAGGCAGAGTGGCTTTCGATTCCTCCAGAGCAGCGAGAAGCAGAATTGCTTCTGATTGTGCGACGGAATGACTCAGCCTGCCGGTGATTACCCTTTCTGCCTTGTCTCTGCATCCAAGTTCACTTAATTGAGAGCTGTGTGGGCCCTTGCTCTCAACCCACCAACAGCCTGCTCCCCATTAGCACTTCAGCACCCTCACTCAGCCTTGCCTCTCATCGCCCACGCTCCCCACCCCTTCCTCCTCCGTTCCTGCCTCTTTTTTCATTCATCTATTCACTCAGAAAGTATGTATTGAGCTCTGCACATGGAGCCCTCCAGGCATCTGAAGCTTGCAAAGTGAGCTCACCCCTTTCCTAGCCTTGCTCCACACCGCACCCCTACCTCACCCCACCCCCAAGCAAAAGAGAGCAGGGTCAAGGACATGGAGCTGAAACACTGGAAGGAATTCTGGATATGAAAAGCTGAATCAGGCAGAGCAAAGTGCGTTGCTTGCTTTGGGGGTGGGTGTCATCAAAGGGTACTCAATTAGCCCTGGGCACATGCCCCTTAGCCCTTGAGAGACCTCTTTTGGAGAGGTGCCTAGAGGCTGATCCATCAATCTGGTACAGCTGACAGATGCCTCAGACTAGTATCATGGGCCTGTGAGATTGAGTAGCTTTCCTACTGGAGGCAGAAGCATTTCTGCCTAGAAGATGCTGTGAACTCTTCCCCAGTAGCAAGGGGGGAATATAGGGAGACCCTTTCTGAAGGGCCTGTGCATGTGTGTGTACTGATACATGAGTATGTGTGTGGAAGTCATGCTTGTAGAAGTCAAAGATTGATACCGGGTGTCTTCCTCGATTGATGTCTACTTATTGACAAAGGGTTTCTAGGTGAAGCTGGAGCTGATTCCCGAGTCCATGCTGGGTTTACAGGTAGCTGCTTGCTTTTATGCAGCTTCTAGAGCTCCAGATTCTGGTCCTAACACTTACACAGTAAGTGCCTTATCCACTGAGCCATCCTCCCCCCCCCCTTGCCAGGACTCACTATCTTAACTTGAACACATATGAGGGTGGAGTCCTTACATCTTTCCACATGCCCTCCCAATTTCAGAAGGGCTGGTTGGCCGCTATTAGTTTCCATGCCCGTTGTTGTGGCAAAGCACCTTGACAAAAGAAAAAGAAACTTCAGGAAGAAAGGGCTTATTTGGCTCCCAGTTGGAGGGTTCAATGAGGCATCATGAGGCAATTCTTTCTAGTTACTTCTGGGGTAGGGGCGACTGGGTTGCATATCCAGATGGGGAAGAGGGAGAAGGCAGCACTTACTGCTCTCCCTGGGCTGTGTGTGATGGACACACACACACACACACACACACACACACACACACACACACACACGTGTGTGGGTAGAATGTGTGTGTGTGTAGGGGAAATCATGGCAGCTGCAGCATGACACAGTTGTCACATTGCATCTACAGAGAGGCAGGAGAGAAGGACAACACTGATGCTTACTTTCTCTTCCTCATGTAGTCAGGGACCCTTGCCTATGAAATTGTAACACCCACATCACCCAGGCCAGAACTCTCTGATACACATGCCCCTGGGTCTTTCTCCTAGAGCCTGTCAAGTTCACAGTTTTAGCCATCACAGTCTGCCAGTGTTGTTTCTTTCCTTAATTTTGGTCAACATGTATCTTTCTAATTTCCTTGGATGTTGGTGATGGCTGGAGTTGCTATCAGCTGCAGTTATCTGACATTCAAGGAAATGGAGATCCTGATTGATAGTGATTCTTCTACCAGATGGGAGTGGGCCCGTCTATCTGTGGTCCTTTGTTGAGAATGGATAAGGAGTGTGGTGTTGGGGGAGCCTGATGAATGGAACTGAGTGGTTTCTTCCTGTGTACTGTTGTTCACTGCCAGCCAGGTGAGCAAAGTCCAGAAGGTGAAATGAGGGGTCCAGAGGTGGAATGAGGCAGAACCCGAATCAGTTCATGTTCCCTAACTTCCAGCCTGGCATCTGTCCATTGTGTGGCTCCCCACAGAGAACAGCTGTCCTTCACACTGGACTCTGAAGTGAAGGGTTAAAGCACAGGCTGGAAACGGTGGCCTGGCCAGACAGACAGGGCAGACAACTGCAGTCTGAGCATTCACCTCCTACACAAAATCACAGGAGAGCATTTCTATACTGGGGCCAGAGGGGCCCAGACTCTAAGCAACTTGGCAACCTCGAGTGTCTTGGCCTTTCAGCTAAATCCGTGTTGCTGTTTAAACTCCTACTTGGGTCTGTACCTGGCATCTCTCTCGGATCCATGGAAACAGAAACCCAGGCTTACATTTCTTTGTCTTGGCCAAAGACTTTGAACAGGACTACTTTGGGGTGGTAGAGGGTAAATCCACTTCTCTCTGGGGTGATCGGCTGACTCAGACATCTGCTTACAACAGGAAGATGCACAAGGAGACAGGCCAGGAGGGGGTTTATCTTCCCTTACAGAGGAAATGGCCTTGAGTAGATTCTAGTCCTTCAGGAGTCCTTCAGTGTTTTCCACCGTGCTTGCTCATGCTCTGCCCCAAGGGACTGTGTTTATGAATGAGTCCTGAAGAGAGAGCTGAACATAGGAAAAATAAGGATGTGGTTCCAGAACCAAAATTAGAACTTTTTTCTCAGAGGGATGGGCAGGATGGGGCAGAGATTTTACCCTGCCCAGAAGCTGCCAACCATACCTGGAGACAGGACTCACAAAAAAAAACAATCAGACAGATTCTCCCCCCGCCCCCACTCTCCTAATGAAATACACGCAAGCTCCCACAATCACGCTCTCATTCTCAAACTCATATGTTCACATATATACACACTTGCTCACATATTCATACAATCATGCCTGCTCTAACTCAGGTCTGCACTGGCACTCATGCATGCACATGCACTCATACACACAGCCATACATACTGTTGTCCACAATCATACACATAGTCACACATGCATATGTTCACATTTGTGCATATACTCATAGTCACATACTTATATATGCTCTCATACACTTTGTATTCTAATTCACACACACACACACACACACACACACACACACACACACCACGCACTTATCTATGGATCACGCATAAAGAGTAGTTGGTGCTATTTCTGACTGGTCCCATCTATAAATGGTACCCAGCTGGTCTTGTCCCATTAGTATCTAAAAAGTGTGCTGTAGACCTGAAACTTGAAGTATATGATCTGGTATAGTCCCTTCCCACTTGGCTCATCCATCATGATATAGGCTCTACATCACGAAGATTTACACATAGGATGTCCAAGGTCTCTCTGTATTCTCTCAGAGAATACAAAGGTCTCTCTGGTCCGTGTTATGGAAGGTCTCATGGACATGCTATTTGTCCCATCTGGCTGCTGCAGGTTTGCTGAGGTTCTTCTGGCTGAAGCTTTTTTATCCTCAGGGCTCCTCCCACCCCCTCCACAGGGACAGCATCTCTTAAGAAAAATTCAGCAGCAGATTTGCCCTGCCATAAAGTGACTGACCCTGCCCTTGCCTTCTTGTGACTGGGCGAAGTGTGATTTGGGGGCTTTGTGTCTCATCTTCCTGCTTTCCTTCTTGGCTAATAAGGGACTCAGGTGTCAGCTGTCCTGGAGGGATTCAGCTAAAAGGGGGTGGGGGGGGGGGAGTTTGAAAGCCTAGACAGCTTTCCAGACCTCAATGGAACAAATTTAGAAAAGCTCTCATGTGTGTGCCAAAGTTGTCACATATAGGAGAGGTCTTGCGACACAAGGTCTGAGCAGAGAGCACTTGCAATGTGAAGAACAGCAGCTCCCCACAGATGCACCAGGCAGTAGGTGATGCTAGCCCTGCTGCCTCACAGTGACCTGAATGAACAGCAGGAATGGGGGTGAAGTTAAGCAGCATAACATTTGTATAAGAAGCATATAGCATCAATATAGAATATGTTAAAATGTTTTTTAATGGAACACAATATGATTAAAAAAAAGATTTATTTATTTATTATGTATACAGAAGAGGGTGCCAGATCTCATTACAGATGGTTGTGAGCCACCACGTGGGTGCTAGGACTTGAACTCAGGACCTCTGGAAGAGCAGTCCGGTACTCTTAACCTCTGAGCCATCTCTCCAGCCCATGTTAAAATGTTTTATGATCCAAATACGTTCCTGTCAAATTCATGGGACTGGCTTCCCTTGGGGAGAGAGCGTGGGGTAGGGGGTTGGGGGAAATGTAGGAGGGGAGTTCAGCTCTGCCATGTTTTATTTCTGAAACCGACATGTCAGCATTTAAACAATTGTCCATACTTCATGGAGTGCTTGGGTTAATTTTTTTTTTGATTGTAAGATTTATTCCTGTGAATTAATTTCCTGTGTGTTTTGCATGTATGTTCGTGTGTGTGTGTGTGTGTGTGTGTGTGTGCTCGCGTGTGCTCGCGTGTGCTGTTTGTGCACCTCTAGTGCTTTTAGGGAGTCAGAAGAAGGTATTGGATCCCCCAGA